AGTGCCAGATGGGGATCAACGCCGACTCTGATTACTTCGATGAACAAGTTAGGTAACAGAGCGTGGCTTACCTAGGTGTGCACTGCCTGCGGTCCGAATGGCTCCATTTCGAGAGCAGTCTATTCACCATTCCCAATCAGCGACAGAGGTGGCCAGCCACAGCGATGTCTGGTAAGGGCCGGCTAGTGTACACGCCAACCGCTAACGTCTGTCTCAACTGCCCAGCCGGAGGCTCTCCGTTTCATCGTGGCGCTGGGTCCGACCGCATGGTGGTGCGGCGGGGTCTGGCTCGGGGAGATCGGCGAGGTCACATCAAAGCGCATCCGGGGTCTGACTTAGCTAGCTAAGCCTAGCTTGGAAGTGTTTTCCCCAGCTGCACAACACCACAAATCTTCACGGAAGCGGAGGGTGCATATGGCCAGCAAGCTTGGCTTTCGGCACCTTCATCCGGTGAGAGGCGAACTCCAGCCAAGCTAAAGCTCCTCAGCGCGATGGGGGTTTGAGGTTCCTTTGGCGGCCGTGATGGTTGATTGCGGAAATGGAACATCAGTTGGCAAGGAAGGGAGAGGTTTGCTCGAGCAAAAAACTTGCCCAAATTTTAGGAAGCAGGCGCCCCCGAAGTAAATCCGGCAACCGTTGAACCCTTTCGGTCGCCGACCTCACGACACGAGAAGTATCAGCCGCGCAACGATGGTGGTGGCGAACTATCGGGAAAGAAAGAAAGAAAACAGAACTAGATCGAATTAGGTGGCCCCTGCCTTCCCCAGGGATCGCCAGGAATTGCTAAAACGCCTTTCTGCGTCAGCGTCTTTCTTTCTTTCTTCACCGATCAATGCCCAACACCAGTTTTGAGGCCTGGGCAAATCTCAATGTCGGGGCTTGCGCTTCGCTGTACCGGGTGAGCGGTGTGGCCTGATCGACTCTCGGTCGACTTCGGATCTAACAGCTAATGGGACGCCCAGCAGTGCGGCGAATGGGGTCGGCAAAGGTGGAGAAGTTGCCCAACCGCTAATCTGAACATCTTATCAAGCTGATTGTTGGCGTCTGAGATCGTCGCCCCGGGGTGTGCGGAGAGGACAGAATTGAGCATGGTAGAAGCGGACTCCGGGGACCGTTCTTGGCATAACAGGGTATCGAAGCCGAGACGGAAGATTCCGCTGGAGCTTGGCATCATCAGGGTATATTGTTTCAGAACGAGCACCAAATGTTCTCCGAGGAAAAGGAGTTAAAAGGTGACAAGTTTGGGAAATGAACTCCGATGGTTTGCAGCACCCAAATTTTTTAGAGTGCCCTAAGACGGTCGTTCTTAGCCACCTATTGGCTGACCCTGTGGAATGAGGCAAGGCGCCCCTCCTGTGGCCGGGTCCCGTCGAGTGCTCAGACTAGTGCATTATGTAGTGTACAGCCGTGACATCCAGTGAAGAATAGCTTTCGTTCTTTCAGGGCGAGCAAGCCCAAAACACCAGGTTCAGGCACGTAGCAGAAGCCACCTCCTGCATGAAGCCTCTCTTGGAAGAAGGCGGCCGATCCCAACCAAAAGCGCAAGTCTCCGTTCATGGGATATGGTAAACTCGGAGGAGTCTCAGGTGGCGAGCATGTTCTCCCGACATATAACCAGGCGGCAACTGGTCGTGTGCCCGGCCTCTGACCGCTCCGTTGTGAGCCGCCTGCGGAGTTCCGTGAACCCTAACCCTTCCCTCAACCACCATGGCAACCAACGACAATGGCATCTCCAAGGACAGCGTGCCAACCGGCTGGACGCTGGTCGCTATCATCGTCTTCATCAGCATGGCGCTTTACAACGTCGTCGAGCTCAGCTTCATTATCCTCGCCACCTTCAAGCGACGCAGCGGGCTCTACTTCTGGAGCTTTGTGGTGGCCGCCTGGGGCATCGCCCCCTACGCCGTCGGCTTCCTCCTCAAGGCCCTTCAGGTTATGAGCACCACCTGGGTGTACGTGACGTTGATCGTGATCGGTTGGTGCGCGATGGTTTCCGGGCAGAGCGTTGTTCTGTACTCTCGTCTCCATCTAGTCATGCTCAGCGACCGTCGCTTGCGGATGATCCTGACTATGATCATTGTTGACGGCATCATCTGCCACATACCCATCATCGTCATGGTCTACGGAGCCAATTCCCCCAACCCCCAGCCCTACATCGTGCCTTACTCCGTCTACGAGAAAGTCCAGGTGACCATCTTCTTCATCCAGGAGGTCATCATCTCAGGCTGCTACATCTACGAGACGACAAGACTGATCCGCATCAGCCGAGAGGTCCGAGACAGGGACGGCACGCGAAGTCTCATGGCGCATCTGATTCTGGTCAACATTTTCATCGTCATGGTTGACATCACGATTTTGGCGCTCGAATACGCCGGACTCTACGACCTCCAGACGGCCTACAAGGCGCTTGTCTACAGCGTCAAGCTGAAGCTCGAATTCAGCATCCTGAACCGGCTCGTCGAGCTGTCGACAAGGTCCACCAACGGGGGCTTGGCGGTGCACCGCGGCAACGTCTGGATGGATACATTAGACGGGGGGAAGCAGAAGAGGGTGGTCGAACAGGGGCTAGGGAACAAAGTCCAAGTCCATTCCGAGGTGAGCTCGGCGAAGGCCCAGGGCAAGAACATCGCCATGACGACCGAGATCAGCATCCAAAGGAGTCGGAGGCGGTCGGAATGGGAGAGCGACGGGAATAGCGCCGACGACAGGTCTGACATAGCAAGGGCAGCATCGTCGTCCTCCCGGCAAGGTATCATCGAGGACCGCTACTGCTAGACTCTTTAGATGAAATTCAAGTTCTAGTGGCTTTGTCTGGTGGCATTGTTCTTTACTTGTTGCTTTGCAAAATACAGTAGCAGGACCGCCTGCGACAGAGTTTGTGATATTTCCAGAGAGTTGGGAACGTTTAACTGCCACGTAATGAACTGAAGATGCCGCAGGCGCGACAGGTATCTGTCCATGAGAAAGAAGAAAACAGATGTTGATATGTTTTTTTTTGACAGATTCAAACGCAGTTTCTCGACGTCTTGTGGGGGCGAACCCGATTCTTGCCACATGAAAGGCCAATACTTCCATCTAATGTCTTGTCTCTTCACACTCATTTACGGATCCTTCAACTTCTTAATCAACGCGTGCAACGGATCCAGCGAGTAATGCACCCCCTGATAGTACTCCAGCGCCTCGAAACGGCCGTCCATCCCCCCCTTGATCAACTTCCTCGCCAGCCAGCACATCTCGGGACTGAGATAATGTGACATAGTCCCCGCCATGTACCGTACGTCCTCCCCAGAAGCAGCAAGCACGCTCGTCACCTGCCTCCAAAGCTGCTCCCACCGCGTCGTCGCTCGCAAAAGAGCCCCCCCGCTCACTGGCAACAATCCCATCAGCCCAGCAGACCCCACGACGGAATGGATGGCATAGATCAGAAAGTGCAAGTCATGCACGGTCGGGTTGCGGAGCGGGAACTGCTCAATGCTCGGCCAGGTCGCGTCGGCCATGAGCGCCTCCATCGCTTGCCGTATCGAGCACGACCGCTTCCGCACTGACGGGCCCTTGGCCGCGACAGTGGCGTTGAACTCTTCCTCGCTTTCTGCCTCCCACAGCGACGGAACACAGGGGAAATCCCCGGTGAGCTCCGAGATAGCCATCAGCGGCGGGACCCGAAACATGCCACACTGCTGCCAATCCGCCAGGAGCGTCCAGGCCCCGATCCTGTTGCTTATCAGCCACACATCCCATACACACGAGGAGACAAAACAAACCTCAACCTCATCTCCCTCCCCACAAACCCCCTCCAACCCTCCGCCCCCTCCTCCCCATGCCTCACCCCCAGCAACCCCAACCTCCTCACCGCCGCCACCAAAGCAGGCAACCTCACCGTCCTATTCCTCTCCCTTGTCTCCACCCCCTGCAGCGCAAACTGCGTACAATGCACCAACAACGCCGCTTGCAGCGCCTCATACACCTCGCTACCCTCCGCCTCCTCCCCGGGTACCATGAGTTCCGCCAGCTTCCGAAAGACATACTCCTCCGCCACCCTCAGAAACGCACGCGTCGATGGCACCGCCGCCCTGGACCCCGCCGCCGCGTGCACGGATCCGCATAGGAAGAACGCCAACAGCAGCCCCGGGGAAATGGTGGCGAGGTCAAAGGACGGACGGTGCGTCAACGGGAACTCGCGGTGCGTGGAGCGAAAGTAGCGGCCGACGAAGAGGGCGCGGTTCGCGGGGGTGAAGACGCGGCGGGCGAGGGGGAGGGAGAAGGTGCCGTTGTAGGAGGGGTCGGTGCCGAGGGTGGTGTGCAGAGCGTGGAGGGAGGTGATGATTTCTGTGAGGGTTGGTTCGGGGGGTGGCGTGGGGACGGGGTCTGTCCATTGCTCTAGGGAGAAGTCGTCGGGCGGGTGGGAGAGGGACCAGGGGCAGAAGCGGTCGTCGAGGAAGAGGGAGAGGTTCAAGTTGTCGGGGAAGATGCTGAGGGGGTATATGTCCTGGTCGGTTGGATGTGGGGGTGCTGGTTCGGGGACTGGTGGTGGATCGGGGTGAATGGGATCTGTCATGTCGAGGTCGTGGCCGTCTAGTACTTGGAGTGAATCCACCATGGAGTTGGCGTTGGGGTCCGTCATGTTGAGCAGGAACGGCAGTGCCATCTTGGCCTCGGCGTTCTTGGACTGACTGCCCGTGTCCGGGGTTTGGATATTGGAGGAAGCTGGTTCAGAGATAGATTCAGAGGAATAGAGGCGGTCATAAGTGCAGAGCAACTTGGACGACGAGCATCGGCGGCATGGGTGCTTGGTGTCGCAGGCCATCTTTCTCTGGAAGCAGTGATCGCAGGCCCGTGGCTTCTGACCACGCTTCGCCAGTGGTGCTTCATCGTGCTCGACGTTGTGAGAGCAGCGGGTGAGGTGTCGTCGCCAGACATCGCTGACTTGTGTTAGCTTCAACTTCCTCGCCGAAACGAAACAGGCGTGAATATTTCGCCCGGCTCCACAAGAAACATCCACAGCGCTATTAGGCTAGTGGTTAGGACTTTGCTTTCCCATCCCCTGATAGATCAAGCGACAGCTCGAGTTCGAATCTTGGATAGCGCATCCTTCTTTTTTTGGTTCTCGTCGCCCCCAAGTTGCCAATGTTTCGAGGGCAAGGGGTGTGACCGGACATACCGTCTTGCAAACGACTGCTCGCAGTACTTGCATGGGATCCGTTCTGTTTTTTTTTCGGCGTCTGCGGAAATTGTCAGGGGGCTTGAATTGAGGAAAGAAAAGTCGACAGCATACGAGTGCGTTCATGTCGACGGAGATGGCTGCTCTGCTGGTAGTGTTTCCCGCATATGAAACATGTGAATTTGCGGGATTCCCCCGAGGGCATGTTGGTCGAGGTTCGTTAATGTGGTGGGATGGTGGGATTTCCCCGAGGAGTCGGAAGGGTTTCCCTTTTAAGGGGTGAAGGTGAGTGGTCGCGGGAGGATCCGGGAGGGAAGTTGGGTGGGGATCAAGGATCGGGAATACCATGCGGACCAGTCGGGAGGGTTCGATCAGTCTCACGGCCGGACGAATCCCACCGGTGGGATATCCCCGTGTAAAAGGGAGAACAAAACAACACCGCCCACCCCAGCCATTATCGATGCCGCCATTTCTTCTGTTCCGCCTGACAATCTGGGTCATCGACCTCCTGGTTCATTGATTCATCTTGAAATTACATTGATTTTATTTTTGGAGGCCTGCGTAGCCACTTAGGGAGGCACCTATCGGGACCACGACAGCCCCAACGCCAGGATGACACCCCTCAACACTGTCCGTTCCTGCGGAACAAGATGCTTGACGAGAAAACTGCCGGCGCTCTTGACATCAACCTCTACAGCCCGCAAGCACAATTACAGCACCGAAGCAACCCTCACCCCAACACTCCCACGACGCCGCACGCCCCTCCCCCTCTCAACAAGAAAACCAATGTCCATCCAGCCCCAAACCTCCAACGCAGTCGAATACGCCCTGTAACCACCCCGCCCCCCCTCACCAAACCCCTCCAAGCTAACCCGTGTCCCCACCCAGCACCTCCCTCGACACCCTCGTCAACTGGGCGCGCCAAGGCTCCCTCTGGCCCATGACCTTCGGTCTCGCCTGCTGCGGCATCGAGATGATGCACGCCTCGATGCCGCGATACGACCAAGACCGACTGGGCGCCATCTTCCGGGCGTCGCCGCGGCAGTCGGACGTGCTCATCGTCGCGGGGACCGTGACCAACAAGATGGCGCCGGCCGTCCGCCAAGTCTACGACCAGATGCCCGAGCCGCGCTGGGTCATCAGCATGGGCAGCTGCGCGAATGGCGGGGGGTACTACCACTACAGCTACGCGGTGGTGCGCGGGGTGGATAGGTTGGTGCCGGTGGATGTTTATGTGCCGGGGTGTCCGCCGACGGCGGAAGCGCTGTTGCATGGGATTGACGTGCTGAGGGGGAAAATGAGGAGGACGAAGGTGACGAGGATGTGGTATCGGAAGTGAGGGGGGTGAGTGGGAATCAGTGGGGTTCACAACCTGGTACAACTTCGGGGTGAGGATGCGTCGCTTTCATGGCCGTTGCTGGTTGGGTCCAAGGTTTGATGGGTTTCTTTGCTACATATTCTCTACCAAAGCAGATAGTAGCTGAGCTGTCCCAAGAAATCACCCACATGCTGTTCCTGATTAACGCAGATCCGGAACACTACCTGAATTCCCTGTTCACTCCGTGTCAGACTCCGGTTCAACGAACCCCGGCCGGAATCTTGAAGACCTCATGGGATTTTCGTCGGTCCCACCCATGGCATACACCTCGGCGGGAGACCGCACACCCGGCGTTCCATCCGCGCCCGGCACCGAATGCACAAAAGCATAGTTGATGGTCTTGTTCTCGCCATCTTCAAACTCTCCAGCTGGGTGCCAAATTGAGATGGGTCCGTTGCAGGGTCTGGTATTGCGCAAAAAGTCCAGTGCATCCGCCCAGGACTTCTCCCAGTCGTTCCCGAAAAGCAAGAGTAGACGGACGAGCTCCAAGACGCACAAGGACCCGTGATGCTTCAGCAACGTGAGGAAGGCTTTGAAGACCGAGAAGACGATCCTAGACCCCTTCAGGCTGAGGACACGCAGGGTCTCCCATGGCCGCTGTTCAAGGGAGTCATGACCGAAGACGAATGGGGGATAGGTTTCGGGGTAGTGGAGATGCCAAGAATCCAGGCCTATTAACTTCCCCTTGCTGGGTAGATATTCCCCAAATGTCTTGACGCTGAGCCGAATTTCTTCAAGATTGGGTGCGTAGAGGTAAAGAGCGTAGATATAGTGAGGGTCTCCCTAATCAAAAACGCTTTTGTTCCAGAGCCCCGGATCGCAGACAAAAGAAAATGATTTGATTGTCATGACCCTGGCCATGACATTGGGCCGTGGCGGCCTGGGGCCACCACGGGCGACCAATCAGACAACAGAACACATGGGCCAATCAGGAAGGACCCCTGGCCCCACTTCCGGGACCACGCCCGGTCCCGGGTGGCCGGCCACCGGGTCCATACACACTGCTTCTATAGCACTTAGATAGTTACTATATAGATAGGTAGACTACGCCCCTTGGTGAGGAACTGTTCTTGTTCCTCACGCAAGCAATATCATGTTCCCGTCTACAATCTTGCAAGCACCTTCTTCAAGCTCTTTGTAGAACACCCTGTTATAGACGGTACACAGTCCCGTCTGGACCTTGCGCAACCTTCGCTCCCTACCGTCAACACACCTGCGGCGTACTGCCTTGCAGTCTGACCCACCTCGGGTACAGGTTGTAACATTGATGTGCCGCAGTGATGATGCGCGACGAAAGAGATCATCCGCATCCTCAGTCGGAGAGCCCCAAGCAATATTTTGGTAGCGATCGAGATTGCCGATGTCGATTCGCATGCTGAGGTGCGTCAACGCCATGCTTGACCGGGCAACTAGGTACGGCAGATGCTGTGCCACGTCGAGGAGCGGCAAGACATTTGGGTCGCAACCCTCTACCGGGTTGCCATATGAGAAGCTGCCTCCGTCCAAAGAATCCTTTCGAGTCTCTCAAGCCTGGACAAAGGCCGGAGCAGGACTGGTGCGATGACTGTTCTGAACACCGTCTTCCAGTCTGCCTCTTGAGGTTGTATCCGCCGCGCCAGCACTTCACGATATCGGCGGAATCGTTGAGTCGAGGGGCCTGACCCCTCGAGAAGCTTGTCAGGGTTGTAGTCACCGACGTCAAACATGTCGGGGTTGTACTCGCCGACTTCAAACATGTTGGCTCGTGGCATCCTCTGCAGTGCTGCGGCAATGGTGCTGGCCAGTTCGGCCAAGTTTTTCAACCACTTTCGCTGCTGCTGGCATTGCTCCAAGATTCTGTCCTTGAGGTCTTGGAAGAAGAGCCTGAGGTCTTGGTCGGGAATGCCAACCAAGAAGCACCATCCGAGATCCCAGCGATCCCAAGCGTCCAGCATGATAAAGGCGACGTCGGCGACTTGGGTGATGCCGGGTTGAATCTGAGTGACGTCGGCGACGTGGGACTTGTCGGCAACGCAGCGCTTCAGCTTGTGAGACGACATCGAGGGGAAACTGCTGGTAACGCCGACCGATATTGGCACGCACAGATTTAACTCGGTGAGATGATATTGAAGCCACCTATACCATCTTGGGTCATCCTCTAGGTCATCGTCGTCCATGGGGGGGAGGTGCTCATGGATAGAGACGCGAACGGCGCGAACACTCTTGCTGAAAACAGGATGTGAAGCGATCTTGTTGAGTCGGTCCAGCGAGCTGTCAGTCATGTCGACCTGTAGGGAGCGAATCAAGAGGTGGGAGCTGACGGCGCAAAAGCGGCAGCAGGTGAGTCGGACAGCCATGATGCTCCAGGCTGGCCCCTCGGAATCATTAGGAAACTGATGGTTCCACGTCGGCGACGAGCTGCACCCGAGCTTGTGTGGATTAGGCTTGTTCTCGTAGAAAGCCGCGACGTGCTCGAATATCTCGAGGAGCATCTCGTTGGGGAGTCGCAAGACGGGCGGGTTCATCTGTGTTACGGCTTGCCAGGTTGGATGCTGCGACGGCTGTGGTGACGCGGAGCCCTCGGGTCCTCCATCTTCATCGGAAGCAGGGGGTGACGGTGGCGCCATGGCGTGGTGGCTGTGATTACGAAAGTTGTGGTGGTGTTGGTTTCGAAGGCAGATGGAAGAAGACGGGGACGGCGTTGAAGCCGGAATCGACGATCAAGGGCAAGTCTGGAGCCGCCTGACTTGTGACACCGATGAAGGGAGTTCTAGCTCAATGACTTGACTGGGACATCCTCTTGCTCCTGGGCTTGAATGGAAACGGACAGGGCGCTGCTGCGGTGTGGTTGAGGAACGAAGAAAGGTTGATTCGGATGGGCTGGATTTGGCCAACCGAGGTAGAGGCCAGAGGGCCGTTCAGATACTGGGCAGGTACCCAGGTACAGATAAAATTCTCCATTGTGCCAGTCTAGTACCTAGGCTGGAGCAAACAGGAAGGTACCTACCCACTCTCTCTTTTTACCCCACCTGTCCTCTCAAGACCAGTTTGTTGCCAACACCAAAGACACGGGAACAATACTACCATTACCTGGCCATGTCCGACGACCCACGCCCTTCACAGCTTCTTGCACAGCCTCTCGCCATACTCAATGACATGCCACTCCTCGGTCCCCGGCGTCGAGATGGAATAGAACAAACCCTCAGGATCCCACTCCCTCTTGAGCTTCTTTAGCTTCGGATACACCTTGGGCCCCCAAAAGTGCGTTTGCCAGTCCTCCATGTACGGGTTCGCCTCGTTGATGTACGCCAGCCCATCCGGCGCCGCCCTCATCATCGCGCGATCGACCGTATTGGACAAAAGATCCTGAATGTCGTCCTCCTGCGCAATCGACGAGTCCGCCGGCAGCGGAAGGTTGTACAGCAACAAGTCCGACGCCTCCCTAAACCTCGGATTCACCGCCGCCTCGGCCCCCTTCGCCTTCGACACCCCGTGCCCCGGCCCGAAAATGTGTCCCACCATGTATCCCTTGTCCACCAGATCCGCCCTCGGGCTCAACGCCACCTTCATC